TTTTACCTATAAAATTTTATATTTGAAATTATTCAATTATTATAATTTTTTAAATTAATTGCTAATCAGTTACCCTCTCCCTTATAATAAAAAATCTGGCAATTTCAAAATAATTTTTATTTTTATTTAATCATAATGTTATGCACGCTAAACTTAATAACTCTTTTATTTAAAGCCGCTTGAGACTTATATATTTTATTTTATATTTTGTTATTTTAAATTTTTTCTGTTCAGAAGTCACTGAAATTTATATTTTAATATCATGGATTTTTGCGTACAAATTTTAATTTAAAAAAAATAATTGATATTTGCCCTCTAAACTTTACTATTTTAATCGAGATTTTTTCGTAACCTTTATTTCTAAAAAAAACACTACAAGATTCACGATTTCTGTGTCACTGAGATCAGCATAAAATTTCTATCTTCTCTTTGCACATTTTGCTTTTATCCTATTCTTATGTGACTATGATATGAAATATATCTTATATGTAATACATGGCATGTTACAAGTACGCAAAATACATGGAACGTTCTTATACGAATTTTCATATAAATTTGAAAGAGTACATACGTCTTTCATATGCGCTTCATAATATTATTTTGTCAAATTTAAAAAGAAGATAAATCAAACATGTATTTTAATAACATAGTAATTTTGTTGAAAATATTTAGCAACTTTATAGTTTAACTTTATAGTTTGCTTGAAGGCCATAAAAATCATCTTTTAAAACATAAGAGTTATTTATCGGTATGTTGTAATATATTTTGGAAATAAGATGATGTTGTTTGCAAAAATATATTTGCCTCTGCTTCTTTTTGTACTTTGACGGAAGATAGGCAAACCTGTATGCTCGTTTCACAACGAGGATGCGGTGATGTGCAACGAAAAGCGAAAAGTCAAGAACTCTGTGTGCACACTCGTTACACATCGAGCGAAATGGACTACTCACGACAGACCAAATTTGCATCTTAAGAAATGCTCGCGAAATCGCAAGGAACTCTTTGACTTTGACTTTATCATGACGCAAATTACATTTCTTTCAAATTACATTTCTCTTCAAGTATACATATTATAGATTTATAATATTGATTTGCTTGATTTGAACAAGAAATTAAAATAATATTATTTGCATGAACCGCATCAATGTGTAATATATATATTTGATGATAATTAAAACGAAATAAAGTCTTGGAAAAATTGACATAATCAATTTCAGTTTTAATGTAAAAAAAATTTTATCGTTTCATAAAATTTTCTTTAATTATTCTAAAATATTCATATGACCTCTTCTTTACAAATATTATTGTTATAAATATTATTTTTACTTAAGAAATGTATCTTTTTTATATCTTCTACATAAAAGCAAATAAAATTTATTTACTTTTTAATAATAGAATATGTATCAATATAGTTTCTTAATTCAAAAAACGAAATTCCACTAAAAGTTTATGA